TTTGTTTAATGAATACCATTATAACAAAAATTTCAATTTAACATAATAAAAATTCTGTCCATTAAGAAAGAATAGTTTCATTATAATGAAATCTATAAATTAATAAATCATTTATTATTAGTAAACAATGAATATTATGTTAGTCTGGCAACATTAATTTTAATCTCCAGTTCAACTGTTAACACTAATTTTAATCCTTAGTTATGGTTTTGTTTTGATGATATTACTCTACAGTTTTATTTCTTTTTAAGTTTATGAGAAAAAATGGAGAAAAACAAAAAAAAAACCAGTTTTCTTCAGAAGAAAATAATAAAATATTAGATAACATGCAAAAAGGAATTAAACAAAAAGAGTGCCTGGTGGCTTACTGGAATGCTGTGTCATAGTACAGGATTTTATTGCAAAAACTTTGATTAAAGAAACAACACAAAAAGAAATTAGCTTTATTTTAGCAGAAAATAACAGCTTCAAGCAGAAATAACAATTATAGGGGCAGGATTTCAACTAATCAGTACTACTATATTGTTATTTTAGTTGTTTGCTCATATTTTTTGATAATTTTTTATTACTGATTAATTTTTTTTTCTATATTTAATATAACTTCCATTCTAAAAAAATGGGAAATTTGGTTCCATATAAAATACTAATAGAAAATTTTAAAAAATACAATTTATTTTTCTTCAAAATATAAACAAATTATTATTATATTTTTATGAACTGGTGATGGTTTATTTGGTGAGTGGTATATAAATTATTATTATTATTAATAAATTTCTTTTATTCTTGCATTTTTGACTGTATTTCATTATAATAAAATTTCACTATAAGAAAAATATTTTGATGGTCCCCTCAATTTCATTTTACCAACATTTTACTGTATCATGTTTTCATAAGCCATCTAACTAATTTTAATCCTTTAATTTATTTCCTCTTTATTCTCCTCCTACATTTATGAATTTATATATATTTTTGCCCAGAAAAAAAATATGTGAGACCTCTTGGCTATTTACAATTATTGTTTGTTATAGTGTACAAGCATTCATCATCACTTTGATTTTTTTAATTTTTAGTTTTAGTTTAAAGGTAGTTCAAAGTATCCTCTGTTAAGAGAATCACATCTATGAAATATGAGGAAGATATCTTCTGTATACTGTGTTTCAATTTTTTTTTTCTAATCACACTTCAATCTAATAAATATTTCTTTTAATAGGTTAAATAGTGAAATGAGATGAGGATATTTATCTTCTTACTTTTTTAATTGAATTATTTTGAGTTATTAAAATGAAAGTTTGTATGTATGTATGTATATATACACACACATCACACATACACATATGTTTAATCTGAAATTTAAAAACTGCTTATATATAATTTTTTTCTTGGCTAGTGTTTTGCTTTTGGAAAAATCTAAATGCATAGTGATTATAGTTAGAACTAGCTGTTCCATGTGTTTGCAATGATTACTTTCAATTTGATATATAATGCTGATAAAAAAAAATTTATGCAAGAAACTTGCCATAAATTTAGAAATGATACTTCATTATATCCAGAATACTGTTTTTATGTTAGATATATATTTATTCAAATTTTATTATTTATTCTGGATTTTTGAACTTTTGATAAGTCCTATTGTTCATTCTGTAACATTGTGAATCATTTGACCAAGTCAGTCATTCCACTTAAGCAATATAATGCATTAATTGTTGAAATTGATAGTTTCATACTTGTAATAAGCTGTGAAGTTTTTAATAATAGCAGAATATTTTTCAGAAAAATAAAACTTTACGGTGTAAATATTATTTTATTTTTTATATAATATACAAAAATAGGTAAATGATATTTCATATAATTTTAAACAGGAAAGTAAATTTTAAAAAATATTTGCTACTTTTTGATTTTACTAATCTTTTAAACAAGACTTATTTTTAATAGTAAAAAAATTTATTTTGGTGCAATATAATGAGACCTAGTTATTTAATGTGATTAAAATATAGCAATTTTCATTGTCATATTATGAAACTAAAGGAGGCAATTTTGTTTTTGATTCATAAGATTAACTAAATAATATTGAATTAAAATTATTTTACAATGAAAAATGCATATTTTTAATGACAGAAAATATTAAAACTGTATATAAAAAGCAAAATTTTAAATGTAATTCTAAAATTTATAATTAAATTTAGACTAGATAAAAGTATGATGTTTGATGTCAAAAATAATGCACATAAAATTGCAAAGATTACCTTTACCTTGTTTTTTTTTCTTTTTAATCTACATGAAGATGAAAATTTTAACTTGTTGAAAATACTTTGCATATAATCTTTTTGTGTTTTTATTCTTTTACATTTCATAATTATTTCAGCTTGAGAGAAAATCTTTTACTTTGTCTATAGTTAAATTTTTTATTTTAAAAGGAATTGTTTTCATTGAATATACTATTAAATTAAAAGTATTAATAGTAAGACTTAAATATTTATAATATGTTGAAGAATCTTTCCTATGCTGTATTGATACATATTTTTGTACAAGTAAAAAATCACTTTAAACATTTGCTTTAAAAATATCAATGAAATAGAACAATTATTAGAAATGTTATCTATTTTTCTTATTATTGAAAACATCATTAAACTACAAATTTATTTTTAATCTTATTTATTGTGTTTTAGAAAAGTTTATAGATATAGTTTACTTGATTTATATTTCTGATTTCCTGGCTAATTTTCTATATAGCTCTGTCTTTTTGTATTCAGAATAAGCTACATAGATAAATGAAAAACTATCTTCAGAATTGAAATATGTTAAAAAATTATTTCCTTAGATATCTTTATAATTCTCAAGATAGATATATGTAGTATAAAGTTTATCTAGCTTATTCAAATATCAAGGATAAAAATTTTTTAAAACCTTATGAAATTTTGAATAATAAAGAAAACACTTCGTAATAATATATTATAATCAGACACATTTATTGATCAATTAAACAGTCAGAAATTGTGGATTATGTTTAAACTATAATTAAATTAATCAATTAAAATTATTTGATAATTTAATTATATCATAAAAACAATTTATAATTTATGACTGTTTCCTTGATTGAAATATTGCTTACAATAACCAGAATAAATATTTTTGTGTTATTGAAAATACAATGAATATCAATCTTCAAACGATCATTTTTATGGAAAGAGTATATATTTCAAAATATATCAATTTGTACTAAGAATACATTAGATTTATTTTTAATTATGTATGTATGTGTGTATGTTTTTATGTGTAATTCACAAATACATACATAATTAAGTATAAATTGATATTTCATTAAATTTATTGGTCAAATCAATTACATAGTCAATTCTTAATAATTTTGAATTTAGTAATATTTTTATTTAAAATATCTATTACTAATTTAATAATAAATAAATATTACTAACTATAAAAAGATTACATGATTTCAAAATTTATATATAATCTGAATGAATTCTAGTTCAATTTAATTCAGATTGTGTAAGAAATATTTTAGTTTGTGAGTTTCACTTGAAATGTAATCTGGAGATCTAGTCTTAACTACTATTTATTATACCAAAATTTTAGTATCCAATAGTAACAGGAGACTTACACAGATTATTTGTAGTTATACCATGCTTAAAATATATTGTATATTAGTCTCTTAGGTAGTAACATACAGTTCAAATTTAGAATACAAACCTCCCATTGCTATTGGTTACTGAAACTTTGGTATTATTGAAAATAGTTAAGATTAAATCCCAATTTCTATTTTAATTAATAATTATTAATATAGATATGATTATGAAACATTAGCTTGGAGTGAACTTTGAATTCAAAACTTCAGTAATCACAGATAGATACATAACCAGTTGAATACAGGCAGAATTATACAATTACTATAAAATTATTATACAGTAGATACCTATAGTTCATTCTACATATAACTGATAATATAAAACTCTAACTTGGCATGTATATTGCTTAAGATATNTTTCTATTTTAATTAATAATTATTAATATAGATATGATTATGAAACATTAGCTTGGAGTGAACTTTGAATTCAAAACTTCAGTAATCACAGATAGATACATAACCAGTTGAATACAGGCAGAATTATACAATTACTATAAAATTATTATACAGTAGATACCTATAGTTCATTCTACATATAACTGATAATATAAAACTCTAACTTGGCATGTATATTGCTTAAGATATAGAATTAAGCCTATATGTAAATTTGAGTATCATATAACTTTCATTTACTTTTTTAAAATGTAATAGATTCTTATTTGTTGTTATATTCGATGTGCTTATCTATAGTAAATCATTTTTACCTGATTATTAATAAATGACTCATAATTAGCTCAACTAAAATATGAATTCCAGAATATTCAAAAATAAATAAGAATTTTTAATGAATTTAATATTTTTTGAAACAGACTATCAGTGCTTTTGTTGCTTACAAATAAGTTAAACAAATGTGAATAATTGTTATAAGTTGTTGTTTATAATAATCAAAACTTGGAGTTAAGAGGATTTATTACATTCAGGGTTGTGCAATAGTATTTTTTGACAATTTTCTGTTTATAAATTAAATAAAGTTTGTTTATATTTAATAAATGTTGATATATTTTCAATTTTTGATGTAATAACATGAAAACTAAGCAAACAAGATGTTTATGAATGTTTTAATAGCTGTTTTTATATCAATGAAAAGTTTTTTGTAATTCTGTTTTGTTACGTATTTTAATTTTGATTGCATATTCTAGTTTAAATTCTTTTTATTTGATATTCTTTTTGAAAATTGAAAATATTTTGGGCTAAAATAATATAAATTTTTAAAATTGTTTTATGAAAAGTATTAGTAATTTATATTGATAATGTCAACAGGAATTATCAAAATTATAATGATTAATTTTTTGCTTGTTTAGTAGTATTGAATTTTATGAAAAAAACAATAATAATATAAAATATGTTATTTTTTTTACAGCTCCAAGACCAATTAGAATGTATGCTGATGGAATATATGATTTATTTCATCAGGGTCATGCAAGACAGCTATTGCAAGCAAAAAATGCCTTTCCTAATGCAACTATTTATTTAATAGTGGGTGGTAAGTTATTTTGAAAATATATTAAAAGATTTATTTTTAAAATGCTAATTTTTAAATGTGTTTTTCTTGTGAACAATATTCTTATAAAAATCTTTGGTAATTAAATTTGAAATTTTGTTGTTATGCAATGACAACAATTCTAACACATTCATTTGAAAATATTTTGTATTCACAGATTAGTTCATTTTTTTTTTACAGTTTTACATATTTTAACAGTTTATTAACTGTTAAAATATAATGTATTTATAAAATGTGATGATCTTTAGGTAAAACTAAATAGTTCAAAATTTTAGAAAAATTTAGATCCATCTATTTTATTAGTTATCAAAAAACTGGGTACATTTTAATGTTTTTAAGCAAAAAGGCATATTTTCAGATTATTTTTAATAAAACAAATTAATTGTTTTGTTTAAAAACTTTAAAAAAGTTTTATAAACAATAAGTTCATACATTTTCTTATTTGTTTGAAGATGGATTCCCACTTGAAAGTATATTTATTTTTTGTTGATAATTCAATAAAACAATTGAATTCACAGTGATTCTTGATTTTTAAATGCTTCTAAATGGTTTAAAATTTATAGTACTATATATTTACTATTATTAAACTTTTATACACTTTCCACTGAATTTTGAATTCTTTCGTATGGATTTTGAGCACTACTTCTATATATTTTTATTTTATTAGAATATTGTTGAATTGTTAAGTTATGATAGGTTATGCTGAATTACATTCAAATGTTATAATATAGACTTCTATATTATGTATTGAATTAAAGTTAAAATATAAGTGATAAGGAGTTGATTTTTACTTTGTCTTTGATAATGATTTAATTTGATCAATTTTAGGATATCTTATCAACCTGTGTAATCTTTTTTATTGAAGGAAATAAATACATGAAAATGAATTTATACAAATCAGATGTAGTATAATAATGTATTAAGAATACAGAATCTGGAATAATTAATAATATACAGCATATCTTCAATTTGGCAATGAACAATACTGAGTGTAGGAAAACTTGATTTATAATACCTAATAACAATGAAGCTATAGTTATTCAAATGTGATGAGAAAAAATTGGATAATGAGTAATATATACTAAAAATTTTAAACTATTACTTAGCATTTAAAATAGTGTTATTGTAAATTCAGTTATTTCATTGGATTATCAACCAAGATGTTTTATTATATCATTTTATAAATAGAAACTATGCAAACATAATGAATTTAAAGAGTGAAATTACACTCTTCTGGATATTACTTTCAGTTAATTGTATTGCCTTAATTAAATATTTAAACATGTTAAGTTATTTCCTTAGATATCTTTATAATTCTCAAGATAGATATATGTAGTATAAAGTTTATCTAGCTTATTCAAATATCAAGGATAAAAATTTTTTAAAACCTTATGAAATTTTGAATAATAAAGAAAACACTTCGTAATAATATATTATAATCAGACACATTTATTGATCAATTAAACAGTCAGAAATTGTGGATTATGTTTAAACTATAATTAAATTAATCAATTAAAATTATTTGATAATTTAATTATATCATAAAAACAATTTATAATTTATGACTGTTTCCTTGATTGAAATATTGCTTACAATAACCAGAATAAATATTTTTGTGTTATTGAAAATACAATGAATATCAATCTTCAAACGATCATTTTTATGGAAAGAGTATATATTTCAAAATATATCAATTTGTACTAAGAATACATTAGANAACTATGCAAACATAATGAATTTAAAGAGTGAAATTACACTCTTCTGGATATTACTTTCAGTTAATTGTATTGCCTTAATTAAATATTTAAACATGTTAAGTTATATATATATGTTTATGTTATATGTTTATATAAAAAATATATATAAACAACTTCTTAAACATATATATATGTTATATAATGTGTTATGTTTAATATGTTTAAATAAATAACATAACGTATGTAAAACTTTAATAACTATTCAAAGCATACATTTAATTTTACAATTAATAAATAATTAGGGCATGCTATGGTATGGAACTGATTGTTGAAAACATGTTAAATTTTTACTGTAAAAAAGTTTTGTTCCATTGCTAAAAATACTGAAAATATTCATATTTCTATATTATCTTATATTCTCATATATAGAGAAATTGAAAAGAAAATTGTGTTCCTATGGTTGTTGCCCCACAGCAAGCAAAATTTAGTCTTTAGTTGAATAATGAATGAATGAAGAGAGAAGGTTGTCTTTAGAAAAATTAAAACATCTCTCACTGCTTATAGATATGTATTTAGAGAATGAGCAGATTGCAATATAGTACAGTACATAAAAATTTAGGCTAGAAACATATGCTTCAATACTAAATAGTTTCAATAAGATGTTTCAAGGAGTATTGAACCATATGCTTCTAGTGTAGATTTTACATATTCTGAGCTGCTTATTCTGAATATGTGTGGGTGTATGCTTGAGTGTTTAATTCAAAATTTTCAAGTGAAAAATATTAATAATATTACACTATAAATATAATCATAATCATAAAACTTTTGTGAATTTTTCGATGGTTTAGCTGTTTTTAATGTTGATTTAGTGAATGTCTCTTCAATCCAAAAAAATCTTTTCGGTAGACTACCTCACAGCCAATTCAGGTTATAAACTCCTTTTATCGTTTTTTACAGATGCATTTCGAGCTAGGTTATTTAATTTACTAGCTCCTCCTCAGTGCTACAAAATAAATTAAATTATAAAAATTGATAAAAAACAATTCGAGTAGATAATGTTACAACAAAATTAAAAAAACACATTTCATAATATCATCTTTAAGAGTTTCCATGAGTTTCTAATTTTTACACTTTTAGTCACGTTTACAATATTTTTACCATCTTATACAATTACTCAAAAGGCTTGTATCTTGTATTGCAAAAAAGAACTGCTTGCTACTTTGTAACATACAAATCATAACGTATAGTAACTTTTTACAAATGTTTAAACACATTTTTTATAAAAACTAAACAAATTAAATATACATACTGATTTCTTTCTAATTAAATTACTTTAAGAACTTGTATCTTGTTACATCATAAAAATGTACTGCTTGTTACACTAGTAATTATAAATTATAACATTTTAGTAATATTTTACAATAAACATTTTAAAAAGTCTTTTAAAAAATAAATATACATACAGATTTCTTTTAAAAGTATATTATCTTTCAAAATTTGACAGTATATGTTTGTACAACTTTTTTAAAAAACAATTTAGAACACAACAAAAATTTTTTGACGTGACAATGTATAATCCCTATGATGTAACTCAAGGTCTATATAAGGAGGTCAGGACATGCGTGACCTACTTCTTGAGCTGCCATTTTGGGGCTTGTATGAGCAGTCAGTTTTATACGACATTAATTAAACTAAAATTGCATAAATTCAATGATTTTTAGTCAAAAATATAATAATAATTTCAGATGATTACTCAACTCCAATTTTATATAACGTTTTCATCAAATAGTTTAAAAGAAACAATCATGCATATCATTCACTGTCGTGATTGAAACTAATTAAATAGGTGCTAAAACTGATGCAATTAAATATATAAGCACTTCGTAAAGTGATGCAATAACATCAAAAAAAATTAAAGTATAAAATATAAAAGAATATAATATATAATATAACAAATTTATAATTATTTTTTTAAAGCACGATTGATTATAAAATTAAGATGAAATTCAATAGTATTATTAATAAATGTTGTCAATGTAATGCTCATTTTATAATAACTAANGTTCTGCATTAATAATAAAATTTAAAGTTTACTACTAAAAACTACTGTAAAATATTAAGTCTTTTGCATTATATTTGATATATTTAAATGTGAGAAAAATATTAGATCATTACACTTTAAATCCATACCAGAAAAATGTATCAAATGCACAATTCAGCTAAATTATTTTACTTGTATTCTGAAAATGGATTTACGAACACAAGCATTTTAAACATAATTGATCCTTATATTTTTTTTCTTTCCAGAAAAAACAATTTGTTATTCAAATAAAATCTGTTTTTAAATGTTCAAGATAAAAGATCAGTGGCAAATAATTATTCCTATGTAAATAAAAAAATTAAATATAAATAAAATCGATATTATAAAATCTCTATATTATAAGAATTAGATATATTTAGATTTCCATCACTTCTTTTAAAATAAAAATTTTAACAATAAAATTAATGTAAATTTTATTTAAATTGAATTAAGTATAAATTACTATTGATTAAACTAAATTTTTTGCAATGTTTTATTAATAAATATTGAGAGTATAAGTCAATACCATCATCATAATTTTATTTTTAAATACAATATGGTCATATTAAAACAGTTATATGTTTAATTATTTTATCATCAGATGGAAAAATGAAAAAAATTTCATTGTTTTATATCTGGATTGTCAATGTCATTTATAAATTTCCATGTATAGTTCATTCATGGACACGAAGAGTATCCGCGCATTTAAACCACTTGTTACAAACTCTTTGAATTGCATCATGAACCATCCCTTGATGTCTACGCTACATTTTGCTTTCCTCTGCTTATTTGCGGGAAATCTAAACAATCGAACGTCTGTAGATTTACTTTTACAATTTGTTTAAAGTTTTGAATACTTATATATGTAATAATAGTTGACTAATGCAGGAACTACGTGTGGAGTATAGTCTATCGATAAGCCCCAAAATCGATAAGACCCAAAAAGTAAAGTCTATTGATAAGCCAAAAGGCCCGCTGCCGCATAGAATCACGGGAGAGTGTCTGACCTTCTTACTTAGACCTTGATGTAACTAATCTATCTTAGCGCCCTCTATTATTGTATATAGTAGACCCCCCCCATAACACTGTTGATAATTCCGTGTTATATGAATTTCGTGTTATATGAGTCACTTAAATTTTACAAATATGTGAGCCGTTCACAGCCCGGCACACGTATTTGTAAAATTTAAGTGACTCGTATAACACGGAATTATCAACAGTGTTATAGGGGGGGTCTACTGTACCATTCATTGCTGGTCTATTTGCATACCGGTTGACACATTTATTAATTATCATTGTTATATTTTATTATTTTTATGTGTTCCTTAAATTTACATTTATAAATATCTTTTTCGTAGTGTAGGACTTTAATATTATTTCTATCAATTTGGCAGTTACTATTTTTTATGTGGTTAAACCATGGGGAATTATTATGTTTTAGTCTTATGACAGCTTCATGTTCTTTTATACGTAATTCTAATGTCCTTCCTGTTTCCCCTATGTATTCTTTCAGATTCTGACTGGTACAGTTTATCTTATAAACTGTACCAGTTTTTTTTTCAATTTATCAATTTTGGTTTTATGTTTTCCTATTTTATGAATAGTTTGTGAAATTTTATTAGTCAAAGATGGGGCCAAAATCACATATCTTTGTTTAAAAGTTTTGAACAGTTATCGTTAATATTAGTTATGTAAGGGAAGGCTTTATAATTTTTCCCCCTTTTTTATTTTTTATATTAAATCTGTTTTTGTAATATTGTGTGTGCCAAATTTTTAATATTTTTTTTGGATAACTATTGAGGATGAATTTATGATCTAACTCGTTTAATTCTATTTCACGTTCATTTTTGTTGGTTGTTCTTGTGTACATCTTTTTTAGTTCCATTATATATGTATTCTTTTTAATAGCCATTGGGGTATGTGAATAATAACTGATCGTTTTATTAACATTAGATGGTTTTTTGTATGTTCTAAATGAAAATTTTCTTTTTCTTTTTTTATAGTGATATCCAAAAAGTTAATTTTATTATATTTTTCTAGTTCTATATCAAATTTTATATCTTTGTTTATGTTATTTATTGTATATAAAATTATCTTTTCATTTGTTATTTCATTATCAATAAGTAATCATCCACATACCTCATTACAGCTTTTACACCGGGAATGTTTTCTATTTTTTTATCTATATCTTTCATTACTATTTCAGCTAATTTTGGCCCCATCTTTGACCCCATACTAACACCATCTGTTTGTGTATAAAAATTGTTATAAGCTTCAAAATAATTTCTTTTATATGCAAATTTTATAAGGTCGATTAATGTTTGGTTTGTTTTTAATTGGATTAGGCTGTTTTCAATTAATTCTCATTTTATGTTTGGGTACATATTTTTTACGTCTAAACTTATTAATGTGTCCGTTTTTTCTTTTTTTCTTTTTTGAATTATATTAATAACTTCACCAGCATTTTCTATACTATTTGTGGATTCCTCAAAATTTTTTGTTTTTTAATATAATTTTCCAAATTGTACAATATGGAGTACCTGAAATCTACTATGGGTCTGTATTTTTCTTCTTTTTTGTGTGTTTTTAACTGTATATTTAGTGTTGGGATTCTATTATTTTTAAAATTTAAGTATATTATTTTTATCAATTTCCTTAATTTTATTATTCGAATACATATCTTTAACTATTTTTGTTAGATCTTTTTTAATTTTTTCATACAGATTATTATCTAACATGATATATTGTTCATTGTTAATTTGTTCTTTTGTTTTATTTTCTAAATCATTCTTACTTATTATTATGAGTTGTTTAGTTTTANAATACAGTGGGTGATCGGTTAACGAACATAATCCGTTCCAAGACTTTGTTCGCTATCCGAATTGTTCGTTAACCGATTATCGATTTACCATAGGTTTCTATGGGAATTTGATTAATTCATTCTGGAAACTGCCCAAAAATAAAAAATATATACTTTCTTACTATGTTTATTCACATGTAATAATAAAAATACATATATACACAGTCTTGATTTTTATTAGTCATGTTTTTTTCCATTCGTGGGGGTTAAAGAATCTGTCTAATGTCGATTGCTTTTCTGTCTTCTTCATGATTTTTCAGAAGTAATTAATAGCATTGTAATTGTAGAGATCTCTAGGCCTATTAACCTCAACCTGGTTTGGATGCCATTTTAAGACCGTTGTTCTGACATCCTCCCACTTCTTCAAAAGATCTTTAATAGCAGATATTGGCATAAATCCACATTTTCAGAAGAAAACATAAAAGAATTGTTTCTGTCAGAAATATAAAAGGCTGGAATTACAAGGGAAGTTTGAAAGTTCAGGGGAATACTATCCAATCAGTATATACTGGGTACAACGTCGATGTCGACATCTCCTGTGCTCTGAAAAGTTTCGAATTGTTGCCTGAAGACAAAGGAAGACCACTCAGTATTCGTTATTTACATCGCTTCTTCTTGTGTTTGTTCAGTGAAGTGTTCGTTATCCGATCATGTGTTCGTTGTCTGATCATAAAAATCTTTCACTAAAGTGTTCATTATCCGATTTGTTCGTTATACAATCTGCTCATTAACCGATCACCTACTGTATCTATTTTTTAAATATGGTTTTAAATAATGGATGTGGTGTGTATTCATTCAAATTTAGTCTTCTCATGAACTTGTTTTGAATTTTTTATTTGATCATGTAATGATAGGTAATAGATCTGTGAAATCTATAAAAATTAAAGAATCAGAAAATTAGGTTTAGACTATTATATAAATATAATCTTCTAAAATAATAAAGAATGTAATTAAAAAAGTATTTTTGTATTAAGTATTGCACAAAGATAAATGAAATAACAGCTAGTCATCCTTCTTTCATTCTTACTAGGATTGATTGAAAAATAAGCTTTACTACTGCAATATTTTTTAAGTTGTGAAGATAAACAAATAGCCATAAGCATAGCCAGAAATATGCAATTTTTTATGTACAGTGTGTTTGTTGTGTTGCATTACAGTCAAGTTCAAAAGTGAACTCATCTTCCTTATTCTAAACAAAGAAGCAATCTGATGAAGAAAAAAACAATCAATTCAGTGAAATAGTGTAAAACCTTACAAGAGCATTCAAGACACACATTTACAAGTAAAGCCAGAAAGAATGCTTTTTCTTGTATTGTGTTAATGCAAGACTGTGTAAGGAAGCAGCAAAGACATGTAGGAACTAAAGTCGTCATAAGTTATTCTTCATCCTTATTTATAGTCCTGATCTGGTACCATCAGCCTTTTGATAGTTCTGTATACATTGTACAATACTGCTGGTTCACATTTGTAGAAGTATAACTTAAATTGTATAGCATTGCCAGTTCAACATTTTAGGGCCAAGTGCAAATAAAAATTTATGGCTATTATGAATTTCAAGATGATATTAGCACAGGACTTTGTACAAATGCACAGATACAAATCTGTGAAGCCATGAATGTTCTATACAGACTTGTGATTCTTTGCTGATAATTTTTGTCACAATGTTTCAACAATTTTTTACTTAAGGAATAGAATTTTTTTACTAGAAAGTTCTCTATATAATGATATGTAAATAAATATTTATTATAATGTGATTTATTTAATAACAAAAATTATTAAATAATTTTACTGAAATTTATATATAATTATATAGTCAAAATAATTATTGACTATATAAATGGTTATAAATTTATTTGTATTGATGAAAAAATATTAAAATTTATATATGAATTGTTTTTCTTTTCAAACTAAGTTTAAGTGTGTATATTGTTTTATTTATTTTAAATTAATCATATACAATTCAAATAAGAATAAAGAGAGAGTGCATTATGGATTTTAAATATATATATTTTCAAATATTTGTAAGTTTCATCATTGTGTGTTAGTAAAGTTATAAAGCTATACCAGTTAAAATTTTATTTTATAACTTATAAAATTACTAAATAATAGCATTTAACATTAATAATTTAATTAAAATCTGTAAATAACAATTATAGTTAAATGATGATTTAAAAATATTCATTTATATTATAGTGTGTAGTGATCAGTTAACACATAGACATAAAGGTAAAACAGTAATGACTGATGAAGAAAGGTATGAAGCAGTTTGTCATTGTCGTTATGTGGATGAAGTTGTTAAAGATGCACCATGGGTATTAGATGATGAATTTTTGCAAAAACATAAGGTAAATGTAATTTTCAAAAAGTTTGCTATATTGATGGTAATAGTAGTTCATTAATTTAAGATATAATAGTAATTATACTGAATTCTGCTTATCTTGGAATGTAAGTAATCAAAATTCAGTATAATTATGGTAGTGTGGAGTATAGAATATATAACTTAGTATGTAGCAGTATTAGTAGTAATGTTAAAATTATATTATTGTAAATATTTATATGAAGTGCATAATTTTTTTGTTTTATTACAGCATTAAAATAATGTTTAAGGAAATGAAATGTTATTATGCAAATAACACTTCATTTCCTTAAACATGAAAATTTTCTTCATGTATTATTTTACATACTGTAAAATAATACATTAAGAAAATATGAGGTATTTCCTATGTGCATACAGTACATTAGCTTAATATAGACGAAGTGCAATTATTATAATGTTATTTTTGAGGGTAGATTCATATTTTTAAGCTACCAATTGACTTAGATGACAACTTTTAGACAATACAAGTTTGCCATCTGGCTAAGGTTATGGCCAAATATTTTAAAATTAGTCTAATAGAAAACTATACTTAATTGCAGAAAAAAAATTGTTAGCAAGCAAAATTATAGGTTGAATGTTTGTGGAACTATATTTGTTTGATATTTTAATATTTTATAATTGAAGTTTTTACCAATATTTTTATTAATTAAAATCAAAAAATGAAGACAGAGTTTGTTGAAATAATTACTCTTTTATTCACTTCCATGTTCTGGAATACATTCAATGATGACATGACCTTTTTTTTTTTTTAAGCTGTATTTTTGATAATCTAATGAATTAGATGTCAATTTATTTAAGTAACAATTAGACTTGGGACTCTAATTCCAGATTTTTATTATTATGTAGGGGGAGTAATAATTGTTGCCAAATTGAAGCATTGACTTTGAAGTTACTCAGATATCTGACAACCTTTCTATATGAAATTTAATCATTAATTTAATTTATGTTCCCATCATAAATAGTAAAGAAGCCACAAAGTTAACAAACATTTTGAAAGTTATGAGATTAATTCAATGAATAATGTAAGCAATAAACATTAGAGTAATTTTGATTAATATGCTGTTTTTGTAAGATGCATTAACCACATTAATCATGGGATTATCATATTTTATTTAAATATAAACTGTGAAAAGCAAAGTCAAAAGAATAAAAAGTTAGCTTTAAAATAATTATATTTAATATTTAATGCTAATGAAAGTCAATGACTTTGCTCATTTTTTTTCTTTTTATAATTAATATTAATAAATAAATAAACTAAATAACAGTAATGATTTGAATTCTGAATAAATAAAACCAATATTTTTCTGGATAATCAGCTTTATGTAATACTATTATGTTATCTTAAATATTATATTTATAGAGTGATTTAACTTTGAGTTACATAAAACAAGAATTGCAGATTTTTAAAAATATGAAATTTTTTAAATTGTAGCTATTTCCAATTTTGCTAACAAAGAATTTAAGAGAAGAACAGAATAGATATCTTAATTAATAAAAGAATATAATATTAATATTATATTCTTTAATTTAATATTAATATAATATTAAAAGAATATAATATGTCTTCAATCAATCAGTGATCCCAGAAATAAGAGATTTTCTGGCCATATAGTATCAGCAAATCTGACTTACTGTTGTCAAACTCAGTGTATAAACAATTTTTTTATTTATCATGTAAATAAAGAACCTATCAGATATTTTGTATGAAATATGGAAATACATTTACATTATAATTTCTGAGAATCATTAATCAGCTATTTTTAATAAAACCAATAAAATGAACTTTAACTGGAAAAATCAATAAACTTTTTAAACTATTAAAAATGGATATATAATGATATTCTATGTGGGTTTTAGAATAGTTTTTAAAGCATTTTGCTAGCAAAACATTATCAAATATTATAAATTTTTATTAATATTATTAATCTACTGTTGATCAAGTGAATACAGAATTCAAAAGTTTGATGATGCAAGTCCAGCCTAGCAATTCTGTGAGTCTAGTAGTGCAACACGCATGTTATCCAGCTCAACCAGCTCATGTTATCACTAAAGTTTGATTTAGTATCACACCTTGCACTGCACATATATATTTTTATTTCGTGTGAGCATTCTATATAAACTTTACTTGATTATTAATATAATTATCAAAATGGAATTCTTGACATAACAAAATATAAGAATTATTAGTTAATGTATGATATAGATATAGTAATTATTATAATTATTTGTTAACATTTTATTAAAGAAGTTTTTTAAAATGTTATTTAAAAACTGTTTTTAAAGGCCAGTTTAATATTAATTTTAATATTTAACAAATAAATTTTATATTATAGATAGATTTTGTGGCACATGATGACTATCCCTATACTATGGACGAACAAGAAGATGTCTATAAAGATATCAAGGCTCGAGGTATGTTTGTCGCTACACAACGTACAGAAGGGATTTCTACATCAGATTTAGTTTCTCGAATAGTTAGAGATTATGATGTTTATGTACGACGTAATTTGGCAAGAGGATATACAGCAAAAGAAATGAATGTTTCCTATTTAAATGTAAGTAATCTTAGAAAGTAGGGAATATTAGATATTTCTTTTTTGGTTCCCCTAAGAAATGCTTCAGAAAACTATGGAAAAAATATCTTTATATATACAGTATATGTTTTTTTAAATGTATTTATTTGAAAAATTTGAATTCTGAATAATGTATTTATTTGTTCNCAAGAATCGCCTAATATCAAGAATCGCCTAATATCAAGAATCACCTAATATCAAAGAAAAAGAACTATTGGATTATTGGACTTCCCGAACTTTCTGTCTTACTGACTGGGATCCAGATCAAGATTTCAAAAAAGGTATTTATCGCCACGCGTATGAATTGTAAACTCTCTCTCTCGAGAACGCTCAGTTAACTTTACTTTCGAACTTTACTATCAACATATTATAAGATATGTATTCCCTATCATTACTCATTAAACATTTGTTATGTTAATCACTTCCGCTGTGCTGTCTCTCCTTCTATCTCGACTCTGATCGCTCCGTTACGCGACTGCTCGCGTGACCTAAATAACGCGGCTTCCGTGTCCGCCGAGACGCGGTGGTGTCATCCTGACAGGGCACCAAAGAGGTGCCGACCCTTCGGTCACAAATGTAAATAAGGTTTGCTTGCAAAATCCACGCGAGCAAAGCCGTGGGTAACAGCTAGTATGTTATAAATTTTATATATAATCATTTTCTTTATGAACGCTATTTCAGCTTAAACTAAACTACAAATTGCAAAACAAAATATTGTTATTGACTTGTGTTGGAATTTAATAGAGTTTTAACCTCTTCTTGCATAATAACAAATATACTTTTAATGTTATTTCTTATTTGTTATACAGTAGGGTCCACTTACAGAGCATTAGATAAGAGAGCAGTTTGCTTAACAGGTCACTCTCCCTTATTCCTTATTTTTTCCCTTATGTTTTCTCTTATGCCTGTTAACAGGATGCCTGTTAACAGAACACTTGATAGTAGAGCAGTCTGTTTAAACTAGTAACATGTTGGCATCATTTTCAGAGCAGCAGTCTACTTAAGGGAGATTTACAAGGGTTTATCTTTAATCTTAAAATATATCACTGCCCAAGGTGCTTGGGACAAAACCCTCTATACAGTATGACCTCAGAATTAACATATGTAATCCATTACTTATAAATAATAGAAATAAGCCTTTTTGTATATATGGAATATACAAAATATTTGTAGCCTGCTTAAAAACAACTTACATGCAATTTGGCTTGCCAATTGAATAGTTTGGACACCACTGCACTATGATTGAATTTGGTGAAACCTTCCATTGGTTAGTTTTTTAATAAATGGAAAGTCAAAAGATTTCTTACAGAATCATATTAAACAGGTTTTATTGGACACACATGAGAAATAATTACATATTAAATAGATATCAAAAAATATACATGAACAAACAGTGCAGATCACACAAAAGTCCTTATCTTTAGGGGATAAGGCAAGAAGTGAGTATTAACTAGACAATAACTTTGTTAAAACTGGTTTTGATGTTTGTATTCCTATCTAGCAACTAGATTTTGGAGGTCACATGGACTTACTTTAAGGTAGTATTTAGCCTACTTATTTGATTTTATACTATATGTTGCATTAGAGAGCATCAGAAATTTTGGAGTAAGGTTGTTCAGATCTTTTCAGCTAAGCCTCCTCCTGTATTTTTGGAAAGAAGTGAAAGTAATATGTCTGGTAAATATACCATTTTTACTGATTATTTGATAAAACAATAAAATTGATGATATAAGAATGGAAACCAATACAGTAAAATTACATGATAATGAATTTTAATGTTTTCAAGTTTGTTATAAGTTACCTAGACTTCCTAGACATGAAAAGATGGACATAACCAAATATCATTAATAACTTCCTGAATGATCTTGTTACTTTGGATAAAGGAGCAGTTAGATAAGGGAGCATTATGCAGTGATCTGAAGGGTGCTCTCTCAAGTAGACTTGACTGTATTATGGCTGTATTTCTATTATATTTAATAGAACATACATTTAAAAACTGAAAATATTTTATTTCCTTCATTACTGTTTAAAATTACATCTGCAGAAATGTTATATTGATATTTGTCAATAAAAATTAAAAGTAAAGTTATAATTGAATTTTAAAAATAATAATTTAAAAACAACATTAATTTTAGAATACAATACACTTTGGTATGATTGATCTGAACTACTTAAGTACCATAGTATTGTATTTACTGAAATATACAGTGGGTGATCGGTTAACGAACATAATCCATTCCAAGACTTTGTTTGCTATCCGAATTGTTCATTAACCGATATCGATTTACCATAGGTTTCTATGGGAATTTGATTAATTCATTCTGGAAACTGCCCAAAAATAAAAAATATATACTTTCTTACTATGTTTATTCACATGTAATAATAAAAATACATATATACACAGTCTTGATTTTTATTAGTCATGTTTTTTTCCATTCGTGGGGGTTAAAGAATCTGTCTAATGTCGATTGCTTTTCTGTCTTCTTCATGATTTTTCAGAAGTAATTAATAGCATTGTAATTGTAGAGATCTCTAGGCCTATTAACCTCAACCTGGTTTGGATGCCATTTTAAGACCGTTGTTCTGACATCCTCCCACTTCTTCAAAAGATCTTTAATAGCAGATATTGGCATAAATCCACATTTTCAGAAGAAAACATAAAAGAATTGTTTCTGTCAGAAATATAAAAGGCTGGAATTACAAGGGAAGTTTGAAAGTTCAGGGGAATACTATCCAATCAGTATATACTGGGTACAACGTCGATGTCGACATCTCCTGTGCTCTGAAAAGTTTCGAATTGTTGCCTGAAGACAAAGGAAGACCACTCAGTATTCGTTATTTACATCGCTTCTTCTTGTGTTTGTTCAGTGAAGTGTTCGTTATCCGATCATGTGTTCGTTGTCTGATCATAAAAATCTTTCACTAAAGTGTTCATTATCCGATTTGTTCGTTATACAATCTGCTCATTAACCGATCACCTACTGTATCTATTTTTTAAATATGGTTTTAAATAATGGATGTGGTGTGTATTCATTCAAATTTAGTCTTCTCATGAACTTGTTTTGAATTTTTTATTTGATCATGTAATGATAGGTAATAGATCTGTGAAATCTATAAAAATTAAAGAATCAGAAAATTAGGTTTAGACTATTATATAAATATAATCTTCTAAAATAATAAAGAATGTAATTAAAAAAGTATTTTTGTATTAAGTATTGCACAAAGATAAATGAAATAACAGCTAGTCATCCTTCTTTCATTCTTACTAGGATTGATTGAAAAATAAGCTTTACTACTGCAATATTTTTTAAGTTGTGAAGATAAACAAATAGCCATAAGCATAGCCAGAAATATGCAATTTTTTATGTACAGTGTGTTTGTTGTGTTGCATTACAGTCAAGTTCAAAAGTGAACTCATCTTCCTTATTCTAAACAAAGAAGCAATCTGATGAAGAAAAAAACAATCAATTCAGTGAAATAGTGTAAAACCTTACAAGAGCATTCAAGACACACATTTACAAGTAAAGCCAGAAAGAATGCTTTTTCTTGTATTGTGTTAATGCAAGACTGTGTAAGGAAGCAGCAAAGACATGTAGGAACTAAAGTCGTCATAAGTTATTCTTCATCCTTATTTATAGTCCTGATCTGGTACCATCAGCCTTTTGATAGTTCTGTATACATTGTACAATACTGCTGGTTCACATTTGTAGAAGTATAACTTAAATTGTATAGCATTGCCAGTTCAACATTTTAGGGCCAAGTGCAAATAAAAATTTATGGCTATTATGAATTTCAAGATGATATTAACACAGGACTTTGTACAAATGCACAGATACAAATCTGTGAAGCCATGAATGTTCTATACAGACTTGTGATTCTTTGCTGATAATTTTTGTCACAATGTTTCAACAATTTTTTACTTAAGGAATAGAATTTTTTTACTAGAAAGTTCTCTATATAATGATATGTAAATAAATATTTATTATAATGTGATTTATTTAATAACAAAAATTATTAAATAATTTTACTGAAATTTATATATAATTATATAGTCAAAATAATTATTGACTATATAAATGGTTATAAATTTATTTGTATTGATGAAAAAATATTAAAATTTATATATGAATTGTTTTTCTTTTCAAACTAAGTTTAAGTGTGTATATTGTTTTATTTATTTTAAATTAATCATATACAATTCAAATAAGAATAAAGAGAGAGTGCATTATGGATTTTAAATATATATATTTTCAAATATTTGTAAGTTTCATCATTGTGTGTTAGTAAAGTTATAAAGCTATACCAGTTAAAATTTTATTTTATAACTTATAAAATTACTAAATAATAGCATTTAACATTAATAATTTAATTAAAATCTGTAAATAACAATTATAGTTAAATGATGATTTAAAAATATTCATTTATATTATAGTGTGTAGTGATCAGTTAACACATAGACATAAAGGTAAAACAGTAATGACTGATGAAGAAAGGTATGAAGCAGTTTGTCATTGTCGTTATGTGGATGAAGTTGTTAAAGATGCACCATGGGTATTAGATGATGAATTTTTGCAAAAACATAAGGTAAATGTAATTTTCAAAAAGTTTGCTATATTGATGGTAATAGTAGTTCATTAATTTAAGATATAATAGTAATTATACTGAATTCTGCTTATCTTGGAATGTAAGTAATCAAAATTCAGTATAATTATGGTAGTGTGGAGTATAGAATATATAACTTAGTATGTAGCAGTATTAGTAGTAATGTTAAAATTATATTATTGTAAATATTTATATGAAGTGCATAATTTTTTTGTTTTATTACAGCATTAAAATAATGTTTAAGGAAATGAAATGTTATTATGCAAATAACACTTCATTTCCTTAAACATGAAAATTTTCTTCATGTATTATTTTACAGTATGTAAAATAATACATTAAGAAAATATGAGGTATTTCCTATGTGCATACAGTACATTAGCTTAATATAGACGAAGTGCAATTATTATAATGTTATTTTTGAGGGTAGATTCATATTTTTAAGCTACCAATTGACTTAGATGACAACTTTTAGACAATACAAGTTTGCCATCTGGCTAAGGTTATGGCCAAATATTTTAAAATTAGTCTAATAGAAAACTATACTTAATTGCAGAAAAAAAATTGTTAGCAAGCAAAATTATAGGTTGAATGTTTGTGGAACTATATTTGTTTGATATTTTAATATTTTATAATTGAAGTTTTTACCAATATTTTTATTAATTAAAATCAAAAAATGAAGACAGAGTTTGTTGAAATAATTACTCTTTTATTCACTTCCATGTTCTGGAATACATTCAATGATGACATGACCTTTTTTTTTTTTTAAGCTGTATTTTTGATAATCTAATGAATTAGATGTCAATTTATTTAAGTAACAATTAGACTTGGGACTCTAATTCCAGATTTTTATTATTATGTAGGGGGAGTAATAATTGTTGCCAAATTGAAGCATTGACTTTGAAGTTACTCAGATATCTGACAACCTTTCTATATGAAATTTAATCATTAATTTAATTTATGTTCCCATCATAAATAGTAAAGAAGCCACAAAGTTAACAAACATTTTGAAAGTTATGAGATTAATTCAATGAATAATGTAAGCAATAAACATTAGAGTAATTTTGATTAATATGCTGTTTTTGTAAGATGCATTAACCACATTAATCATGGGATTATCATATTTTATTTAAATATAAACTGTGAAAAGCAAAGTCAAAAGAATAAAAAGTTAGCTTTAAAATAATTATATTTAATATTTAATGCTAATGAAAGTCAATGACTTTGCTCATTTTTTTTCTTTTTATAATTAATATTAATAAATAAATAAACTAAATAACAGTAATGATTTGAATTCTGAATAAATAAAACCAATATTTTTCTGGATAATCAGCTTTATGTAATACTATTATGTTATCTTAAATATTATATTTATAGAGTGATTTAACTTTGAGTTACATAAAACAAGAATTGCAGATTTTTAAAAATATGAAATTTTTTAAATTGTAGCTATTTCCAATTTTGCTAACAAAGAATTTAAGAGAAGAACAGAATAGATATCTTAATTAATAAAAGAATATAATATTAATATTATATTCTTTAATTTAATATTAATATAATATTAAAAGAATATAATATGTCTTCAATCAATCAGTGATCCCAGAAATAAGAGATTTTCTGGCCATATAGTATCAGCAAATCTGACTTACTGTTGTCAAACTCAGTGTATAAACAATTTTTTTATTTATCATGTAAATAAAGAACCTATCAGATATTTTGTATGAAATATGGAAATACATTTACATTATAATTTCTGAGAATCATTAATCAGCTATTTTTAATAAAACCAATAAAATGAACTTTAACTGGAAAAATCAATAAACTTTTTAAACTATTAAAAATGGATATATAATGATATTCTATGTGGGTTTTAGAATAGTTTTTAAAGCATTTTGCTAGCAAAACATTATCAAATATTATAAATTTTTATTAATATTATTAATCTACTGTTGATCAAGTGAATACAGAATTCAAAAGTTTGATGATGCAAGTCCAGCCTAGCAATTCTGTGAGTCTAGTAGTGCAACACGCATGTTATCCAGCTCAACCAGCTCATGTTATCACTAAAGTTTGATTTAGTATCACACCTTGCACTGCACATATATATTTTTATTTCGTGTGAGCATTCTATATAAACTTTACTTGATTATTAATATAATTATCAAAATGGAATTCTTGACATAACAAAATATAAGAATTATTAGTTAATGTATGATATAGATATAGTAATTATTATAATTATTTGTTAACATTTTATTAAAGAAGTTTTTTAAAATGTTATTTAAAAACTGTTTTTAAAGGCCAGTTTAATATTAATTTTAATATTTAACAAATAAATTTTATATTATAGATAGATTTTGTGGCACATGATGACTATCCCTATACTATGGACGAACAAGAAGATGTCTATAAAGATATCAAGGCTCGAGGTATGTTTGTCGCTACACAACGTACAGAAGGGATTTCTACATCAGATTTAGTTTCTCGAATAGTTAGAGATTATGATGTTTATGTACGACGTAATTTGGCAAGAGGATATACAGCAAAAGAAATGAATGTTTCCTATTTAAATGTAAGTAATCTTAGAAAGTAGGGAATATTAGATATTTCTTTTTTGGTTCCCCTAAGAAATGCTTCAGAAAACTATGGAAAAAATATCTTTATATATACAGTATATGTTTTTTTAAATGTATTTATTTGAAAAATTTGAATTCTGAATAATGTATTTATTTGTTCAGTTACTGAAACACTTAAACTTAAATTGTACAATATATCAGTTTATTAATTTAATATGTAATTTAATATGTTCAGTAACTGATACACTTAAATTATATATCATATAATTTAAGTGTATCAGTTACTGAAACACTTAAATTTAAATTGTACAATATATAAATTGATTTAAACTTTCAAAATTTAATTATGCTTTCTGCTAGTTGTACAAAGTTTTAAAATATGAATTAAGAAAAAAATAAGAGTATTGTAAGTAATTATTAAGCATTTTTAATATTTTTTCATTATTATGTAAATTATTTGGAGTTTTTATTAATATAAGTATTAATAGTTAAAAAATGGATCTGATTCAAGTAGAGAGATAACAAAAATTAATCATAAGATACACTATTGTGTGTAATCAAATCATTTCATTTCTTCTGGAATATTTTGATAATTTATCAAAAAATTTTTTAACTCTTTAAAGGTAATTTTATGCAAGTTGTATATTATATATTTTTGACAGTTTAATTTGTCTGCAGGAGAAGAAGTTTCTATTTCAAAATAAAATGGATGAATTGAAGGATAAAATTGAAGGAAAACGGCATGAAATTATACAAAAATGGGAAGAAAAGTCAAGGGATTTTATTAATTCCTTTTTAGAAATGTTTGGTAAAGACGGAAGAATAGTGAGTAAATTATTTTTTTTAATATATAAATGAGAAAATATATTTATTAATAACTAATTTAGAAAAATATACATCATAAAAATTGTTATTTAAGCTAATCTTAATATGCAGTGTGGTTTTGATTTATACAATCTTTGTGATTTTGATATAAGACAATATTTCTTAATGTGTCATTTGGTTTTTACACATATGTTCTTGTAGACTATTAAAAAAAAAGCTTATAAGAATTGATCAAAAGATTGCAATAAGTAAATATTTATAAGTTATTAGTTATACTATACTATATAAGCTTTTGTTCCAAACAACATTTAAAATTACATCATGTATGTTAATTATTTTTTAAAATTTTTCTTAATTTAGTTGTATAAAATATTTGAAAAATTCTTATCTGGATGACTGCTTATGCATTTGTTGAATATAATCTTTAAAATTTTTAATGAATGATTGGTCTTTTACCTGAATAAAAATTCACTTAAATTGCTTGTTCCAGAAATATAAATGTTGTATAAATTGCAATTACACTGTAATTTAGTTATCAAATTCTATGTTTAAAAAAGTTAATAATTTAAAAGGAACTTGTACAGTATGGTTCTGTTTTACATGGAATTTTAATGTACAGATTTATATTTTTGCAAATATTAGGTTATTCCATTCCTATATCACTGAATCTGACTCTCAAGTCAGAAAACGGTATTTCTCCAGTTTAATATTCTACATATTCAAAATATCACTCACTATTGTAAATACTTTGGTTTGCAAGCAATTTTCTAGAGTAATGTACTTGATATGATATAATAAAATTATTCAGAAACATCAAACTGAAATGTTATTCTTTATATTAGTAAAAATATAAGTGAAATGTTTTGCACATTTTAAAATTTTCCTGTTAATTGTAAATAGTTTCATAAGTGTCTAGGCAATTGTCTGGAACTGCTTGGAATAGAGTACAAATTTACATGGAATTTTGTTTCATGTAATACTGTTGACTTGCAGCCCTACATAAAACAAGACCATATTATATTATATTACAATAGTTCAAACCATTCTAAATTTTTAAATATAAATTTTCATCATTTTTTGCAGCTGAAGTATTAAATAACAAATTAAGAAAATAACAAAACTTAAATCTGATTATTTTTGTTTCAATTATTACATAAAATTTTAGTTATTGCCAGAGATATTGATATAACTGTACATGAGTGGACCCTGTGCAACGTTTCCTAAATGGACCCACATTGGACTTTCTGTAATTTTTTGCTACACAGTCTAATATACATAAATTATAGTGATAAATAATTTATTCAGTTTAAAAATAGTAAATTACATTAATACACTATAGGCCTACTTACTTTGTGATGAACCCTGACCAAATGTGAATCAGTTAGCTGGTGTGAAAACAATTAACATTTGATTGATGAACGTTTTTGTGACCCTTTGTGAGCTCTTCTTCAGATTTTTTTTAATTCAAAACAGGTTGGCAGCTACCATTTGATTTTATATTTGAATGTTAAGACATTTTGAATACCTTATGCATGTGTGTTCCCCGTAAGATGTTTAAATATGATTGAACAATATGATGAGTTTGAATTCAGAGAACCTCTTCACATGCATTCTCCTTTAAATATGATTGAAAATTAAATATTGTTGTTTGGTAAAGCTTGCCATGCCATTGAAAGATACATCTCCCTAAAATAGGTATTTGAAATCTCTTAATGTTCAAATATAAAATCGAATAGTAACTGCCAGCCTGTTTTGAATTAAAAAGAAGCCTGAAGAAGAGCTCAGAAGGGGTCATGAAAACATTTGTCAATCAAATGTTAATTGTTTTCACACCAGTTAATTGGTTCATGTGAGTCACATTTGTTATACATCCTGGTGTGTTGTGCGATTAAGAACCTGACTACCTAATTTTTCTTTTTTGGACTTTGGGCGATGGATATACTTATTGCAGTTATGACAAATATATTACCTCGCCGTTCATTGTCAGTAGCATGGTCTTGGACAAGTCCAATTTCTTCACTTCTGAATTTTCTATGGAAAGTAATGTTAAACTGCTTAGTCTCTTTGGCCATTGAACTCCTCAAGTAGTGTTTTTTTATGAATTTTAGTTTAGAGAATAAACATTTGGTAGAAGCCATAGTGAGAGACATTATAAGAATAATAGAAAAAGGTACATGTGGACATCAGGCAAGTTGGATACAAGTGCATGGTTTTCAATCAGAAGTAGGTTCATTAAGTCTTATGTTTTTCTCTAAGCAAAACCCAAATGTGAGCAATTGCATTGGGAATGGTGATAAATCACTTTTTTTTTCACATATCTCTCTTAAAATGTTGTAGGAAATTTTGCTAATTTCACAGTTTGTATATGAAATTTTTCAAATTTTTTTCTTTTAATGGTGATAATTTTGTTTACCATTTTTGAATAAGACAGCAGCTTTCTTTAGTGCATGCTGAGGAGATTGGATCATCTTCAAAATGCACTTAGTAGTTTCCCAAATATAATATATCAAGACAAGAAAGATGATGAAATGGAATTCTCTAAATGAGATTTTAACACACTTGTTCTCACATGATTGATTTCTGTGTAAATGCTCATTACATCTTGAATATATTACTGGTAATGTATAGTTGTTAAGCAGTCTTGTCTTTAATGATCCCAGGCACCCTAGCTGCTTTGGGCCCCATTCATCTGCACAGGTTGCACAAATTGGTAGTTATGCCACTGATTATTACACTAAGATTACATACTTGAAAAAACATGTAGATTATAGAATAGTTTACCCAAGAAACCAGTAATTGATTCATAATGATTTTAAAGAATTATTATTATTATTTTTGATAAATTTATTTTATATTTTTAAAATGTAATAAAAGANTATTAACCTCAACCTGGTTTGGATGCCATTTTAAGACCGTTGTTCTGACATCCTCCCACTTCTTCAAAAGATCTTTAATAGCAGATATTGGCATAAATCCACATTTTCAGAAGAAAACATAAAAGAATTGTTTCTGTCAGAAATATAAAAGGCTGGAATTACAAGGGAAGTTTGAAAGTTCAGGGGAATACTATCCAATCAGTATATACTGGGTACAACGTCGATGTCGACATCTCCTGTGCTCTGAAAAGTTTCGAATTGTTGCCTGAAGACAAAGGAAGACCACTCAGTATTCGTTATTTACATCGCTTCTTCTTGTGTTTGTTCAGTGAAGTGTTCGTTATCCGATCATGTGTTCGTTGTCTGATCATAAAAATCTTTCACTAAAGTGTTCATTATCCGATTTGTTCGTTATACAATCTGCTCATTAACCGATCACCTACTGTATCTATTTTTTAAATATGGTTTTAAATAATGGATGTGGTGTGTATTCATTCAAATTTAGTCTTCTCATGAACTTGTTTTGAATTTTTTATTTGATCATGTAATGATAGGTAATAGATCTGTGAAATCTATAAAAATTAAAGAATCAGAAAATTAGGTTTAGACTATTATATAAATATAATCTTCTAAAATAATAAAGAATGTAATTAAAAAAGTATTTTTGTATTAAGTATTGCACAAAGATAAATGAAATAACAGCTAGTCATCCTTCTTTCATTCTTACTAGGATTGATTGAAAAATAAGCTTTACTACTGCAATATTTTTTAAGTTGTGAAGATAAACAAATAGCCATAAGCATAGCCAGAAATATGCAATTTTTTATGTACAGTGTGTTTGTTGTGTTGCATTACAGTCAAGTTCAAAAGTGAACTCATCTTCCTTATTCTAAACAAAGAAGCAATCTGATGAAGAAAAAAACAATCAATTCAGTGAAATAGTGTAAAACCTTACAAGAGCATTCAAGACACACATTTACAAGTAAAGCCAGAAAGAATGCTTTTTCTTGTATTGTGTTAATGCAAGACTGTGTAAGGAAGCAGCAAAGACATGTAGGAACTAAAGTCGTCATAAGTTATTCTTCATCCTTATTTATAGTCCTGATCTGGTACCATCAGCCTTTTGATAGTTCTGTATACATTGTACAATACTGCTGGTTCACATTTGTAGAAGTATAACTTAAATTGTATAGCATTGCCAGTTCAACATTTTAGGGCCAAGTGCAAATAAAAATTTATGGCTATTATGAATTTCAAGATGATATTAACACAGGACTTTGTACAAATGCACAGATACAAATCTGTGAAGCCATGAATGTTCTATACAGACTTGTGATTCTTTGCTGATAATTTTTGTCACAATGTTTCAACAATTTTTTACTTAAGGAATAGAATTTTTTTACTAGAAAGTTCTCTATATAATAGAGCAGTCTGTTTAAACTAGTAACATGTTGGCATCATTTTCAGAGCAGCAGTCTACTTAAGGGAGATTTACAAGGGTTTATCTTTAATCTTAAAATATATCACTGCCCAAGGTGCTTGGGACAAAACCCTCTATACAGTATGACCTCAGAATTAACATATGTAATCCATTACTTATAAATAATAGAAATAAGCCTTTTTGTATATATGGAATATACAAAATATTTGTAGCCTGCTTAAAAACAACTTACATGCAATTTGGCTTGCCAATTGAATAGTTTGGACACCACTGCACTATGANACATTAATAATTTAATTAAAATCTGTAAATAACAATTATAGTTAAATGATGATTTAAAAATATTCATTTATATTATAGTGTGTAGTGATCAGTTAACACATAGACATAAAGGTAAAACAGTAATGACTGATGAAGAAAGGTATGAAGCAGTTTGTCATTGTCGTTATGTGGATGAAGTTGTTAAAGATGCACCATGGGTATTAGATGATGAATTTTTGCAAAAACATAAGGTAAATGTAATTTTCAAAAAGTTTGCTATATTGATGGTAATAGTAGTTCATTAATTTAAGATATAATAGTAATTATACTGAATTCTGCTTATCTTGGAATGTAAGTAATCAAAATTCAGTATAATTATGGTAGTGTGGAGTATAGAATATATAACTTAGTATGTAGCAGTATTAGTAGTAATGTTAAAATTATATTATTGTAAATATTTATATGAAGTGCATAATTTTTTTGTTTTATTACAGCATTAAAATAATGTTTAAGGAAATGAAATGTTATTATGCAAATAACACTTCATTTCCTTAAACATGAAAATTTTCTTCATGTATTATTTTACATACTGTAAAATAATACATTAAGAAAATATGAGGTATTTCCTATGTGCATACAGTACATTAGCTTAATATAGACGAAGTGCAATTATTATAATGTTATTTTTGAGGGTAGATTCATATTTTTAAGCTACCAATTGACTTAGATGACAACTTTTAGACAATACAAGTTTGCCATCTGGCTAAGGTTATGGCCAAATATTTTAAAATTAGTCTAATAGAAAACTATACTTAATTGCAGAAAAAAAATTGTTAGCAAGCAAAATGATAGGTTGAATGTTTGTGGAACTATATTTGTTTGATATTTTAATATTTTATAATTGAAGTTTTTACCAATATTTTTATTAATTAAAATCAAAAAATGAAGACAGAGTTTGTTGAAATAATTACTCTTTTATTCACTTCCATGTTCTGGAATACATTCAATGATGACATGACCTTTTTTTTTTTTTTTAAGCTGTATTTTTGATAATCTAATGAATTAGATGTCAATTTATTTAAGTAACAATTAGACTTGGGACTCTAATTCCAGATTTTTATTATTATGTAGGGGGAGTAATAATTGTTGCCAAATTGAAGCATTGACTTTGAAGTTACTCAGATATCTGACAACCTTTCTATATGAAATTTAATCATTAATTTAATTTATGTTCCCATCATAAATAGTAAAGAAGCCACAAAGTTAACAAACATTTTGAAAGTTATGAGATTAATTCAATGAATAATGTAAGCAATAAACATTAGAGTAATTTTGATTAATATGCTGTTTTTGTAAGATGCATTAACCACATTAATCATGGGATTATCATATTTTATTTAAATATAAACTGTGAAAAGCAAAGTCAAAAGAATAAAAAGTTAGCTTTAAAATAATTATATTTAATATTTAATGCTAATGAAAGTCAATGACTTTGCTCATTTTTTTTCTTTTTATAATTAATATTAATAAATAAATAAACTAAATAACAGTAATGATTTGAATTCTGAATAAATAAAACCAATATTTTTCTGGATAATCAGCTTTATGTAATACTATTATGTTATCTTAAATATTATATTTATAGAGTGATTTAACTTTGAGTTACATAAAACAAGAATTGCAGATTTTTAAAAATATGAAATTTTTTAAATTGTAGCTATTTCCAATTTTGCTAACAAAGAATTTAAGAGAAGAACAGAATAGATATCTTAATTAATAAAAGAATATAATATTAATATTATATTCTTTAATTTAATATTAATATAATATTAAAAGAATATAATATGTCTTCAATCAATCAGTGATCCCAGAAATAAGAGATTTTCTGGCCATATAGTATCAGCAAATCTGACTTACTGTTGTCAAACTCAGTGTATAAACAATTTTTTTATTTATCATGTAAATAAAGAACCTATCAGATATTTTGTATGAAATATGGAAATACATTTACATTATAATTTCTGAGAATCATTAATCAGCTATTTTTAATAAAACCAATAAAATGAACTTTAACTGGAAAAATCAATAAACTTTTTAAACTATTAAAAATGGATATATAATGATATTCTATGTGGGTTTTAGAATAGTTTTTAAAGCATTTTGCTAGCAAAACATTATCAAATATTATAAATTTTTATTAATATTATTAATCTACTGTTGATCAAGTGAATACAGAATTCAAAAGTTTGATGATGCAAGTCCAGCCTAGCAATTCTGTGAGTCTAGTAGTGCAACACGCATGTTATCCAGCTCAACCAGCTCATGTTATCACTAAAGTTTGATTTAGTATCACACCTTGCACTGCACATATATATTTTTATTTCGTGTGAGCATTCTATATAAACTTTACTTGATTATTAATATAATTATCAAAATGGAATTCTTGACATAACAAAATATAAGAATTATTAGTTAATGTATGATATAGATATAGTAATTATTATAATTATTTGTTAACATTTTATTAAAGAAGTTTTTTAAAATGTTATTTAAAAACTGTTTTTAAAGGCCAGTTTAATATTAATTTTAATATTTAACAAATAAATTTTATATTATAGATAGATTTTGTGGCACATGATGACTATCCCTATACTATGGACGAACAAGAAGATGTCTATAAAGATATCAAGGCTCGAGGTATGTTTGTCGCTACACAACGTACAGAAGGGATTTCTACATCAGATTTAGTTTCTCGAATAGTTAGAGATTATGATGTTTATGTACGACGTAATTTGGCAAGAGGATATACAGCAAAAGAAATGAATGTTTCCTATTTAAATGTAAGTAATCTTAGAAAGTAGGGAATATTAGATATTTCTTTTTTGGTTCCCCTAAGAAATGCTTCAGAAAACTATGGAAAAAATATCTTTATATATACAGTATATGTTTTTTTAAATGTATTTATTTGAAAAATTTGAATTCTGAATAATGTATTTATTTGTTCAGTTACTGAAACACTTAAACTTAAATTGTACAATATATCAGTTTATTAATTTAATATGTAATTTAATATGTTCAGTAACTGATACACTTAAATTATATATCATATAATTTAAGTGTATCAGTTACTGAAACACTTAAATTTAAATTGTACAATATATAAATTGATTTAAACTTTCAAAATTTAATTATGCTTTCTGCTAGTTGTACAAAGTTTTAAAATATGAATTAAGAAAAAAATAAGAGTATTGTAAGTAATTATTAAGCATTTTTAATATTTTTTCATTATTATGTAAATTATTTGGAGTTTTTATTAATATAAGTATTAATAGTTAAAAAATGGATCTGATTCAAGTAGAGAGATAACAAAAATTAATCATAAGATACACTATTGTGTGTAATCAAATCATTTCATTTCTTCTGGAATATTTTGATAATTTATCAAAAAATTTTTTAACTCTTTAAAGGTAATTTTATGCAAGTTGTATATTATATATTTTTGACAGTTTAATTTGTCTGCAGGAGAAGAAGTTTCTATTTCAAAATAAAATGGATGAATTGAAGGATAAAATTGAAGGAAAACGGCATGAAATTATACAAAAATGGGAAGAAAAGTCAAGGGATTTTATTAATTCCTTTTTAGAAATGTTTGGTAAAGACGGAAGAATAGTGAGTAAATTATTTTTTTTAATATATAAATGAGAAAATATATTTATTAATAACTAATTTAGAAAAATATACATCATAAAAATTGTTATTTAAGCTAATCTTAATATGCAGTGTGGTTTTGATTTATACAATCTTTGTGATTTTGATATAAGACAATATTTCTTAATGTGTCATTTGGTTTTTACACATATGTTCTTGTAGACTATTAAAAAAAAAGCTTATAAGAATTGATCAAAAGATTGCAATAAGTAAATATTTATAAGTTATTAGTTATACTATACTATATAAGCTTTTGTTCCAAACAACATTTAAAATTACATCATGTATGTTAATTATTTTTAAAAATTTTTCTTAATTTAGTTGTATAAAATATTTGAAAAATTCTTATCTGGATGACTGCTTATGCATTTGTTGAATATAATCTTTAAAATTTTTAATGAATGATTGGTCTTTTACCTGAATAAAAATTCACTTAAATTGCTTGTTCCAGAAATATAAATGTTGTATAAATTGCAATTACACTGTAATTTAGTTATCAAATTCTATGTTTAAAAAAGTTAATAATTTAAAAGGAACTTGTACAGTATGGTTCTGTTTTACATGGAATTTTAATGTACAGATTTATATTTTTGCAAATATTAGGTTATTCCATTCCTATATCACTGAATCTGACTCTCAAGTCAGAAAACGGTATTTCTCCAGTTTAATATTCTACATATTCAAAATATCACTCACTATTGTAAATACTTTGGTTTGCAAGCAATTTTCTAGAGTAATGTACTTGATATGATATAATAAAATTATTCAGAAACATCAAACTGAAATGTTATTCTTTATATTAGTAAAAATATAAGTGAAATGTTTTGCACATTTTAAAATTTTCCTGTTAATTGTAAATAGTTTCATAAGTGTGTAGGCAATTGTCTGGAACTGCTTGGAATAGAGTACAAATTTACATGGAATTTTGTTTCATGTAATACTGTTGACTTGCAGCCCTACATAAAACAAGACCATATTATATTATATTACAATAGTTCAAACCATTCTAAATTTTTAAATATAAATTTTCATCATTTTTTGCAGCTGAAGTATTAAATAACAAATTAAGAAAATAACAAAACTTAAATCTGATTATTTTTGTTTCAATTATTACATAAAATTTTAGTTATTGCCAGAGATATTGATATAACTGTACATGAGTGGACCCTGTGCAACGTTTCCTAAATGGACCCACATTGGACTTTCTGTAATTTTTTGCTACACAGTCTAATATACATAAATTATAGTGATAAATAATTTATTCAGTTTAAAAATAGTAAATTACATTAATACACTATAGGCCTACTTACTTTGTGATGAACCCTGACCAAATGTGAATCAGTTAGCTGGTGTGAAAACAATTAACATTTGATTGATGAACGTTTTTGTGACCCTTTGTGAGCTCTTCTTCAGATTTTTTTTAATTCAAAACAGGTTGGCAGCTACCATTTGATTTTATATTTGAATGTTAAGACATTTTGAATACCTTATGCATGTGTGTTCCCCGTAAGATGTTTAAATATGATCGAACAATATGATGAGTTTGAATTCAGAGAACCTCTTCACATGCATTCTCCTTTAAATATGATTGAAAATTAAATATTGTTGTTTGGTAAAGCTTGCCATGCCATTGAAAGATACATCTCCCTAAAATAGGTATTTGAAATCTCTTAATGTTCAAATATAAAATCGAATAGTAACTGCCAGCCTGTTTTGAATTAAAAAGAAGCCTGAAGAAGAGCTCAGAAGGGGTCATGAAAACATTTGTCAATCAAATGTTAATTGTTTTCACACCAGTTAATTGGTTCATGTGAGTCACATTTGTTATACATCCTGGTGTGTTGTGCGATTAAGAACCTGACTACCTAATTTTTCTTTTTTGGACTTTGGGCGATGGATATACTTATTGCAGTTATGACAAATATATTACCTCGCCGTTCATTGTCAGTAGCATGGTCTTGGACAAGTCCAATTTCTTCACTTCTGAATTTTCTATGGAAAGTAATGTTAAACTGCTTAGTCTCTTTGGCCATTGAACTCCTCAAGTAGTGTTTTTTTATGAATTTTAGTTTAGAGAATAAACATTTGGTAGAAGCCATAGTGAGAGACATTATAAGAATAATAGAAAAAGGTACATGTGGACATCAGGCAAGTTGGATACAAGTGCATGGTTTTCAATCAGAAGTAGGTTCATTAAGTCTTATGTTTTTCTCTAAGCAAAACCCAAATGTGAGCAATTGCATTGGGAATGGTGATAAATCACTTTTTTTTTCACATATCTCTCTTAAAATGTTGTAGGAAATTTTGCTAATTTCACAGTTTGTATATGAAATTTTTCAAATTTTTTTCTTTTAATGGTGATAATTTTGTTTACCATTTTTGAATAAGACAGCAGCTTTCTTTAGTGCATGCTGAGGAGATTGGATCATCTTCAAAATGCACTTAGTAGTTTCCCAAATATAATATATCAAGACAAGAAAGATGATGAAATGGAATTCTCTAAATGAGATTTTAACACACTTGTTCTCACATGATTGATTTCTGTGTAAATGCTCATTACATCTTGAATATATTACTGGTAATGTATAGTTGTTAAGCAGTCTTGTCTTTAATGATCCCAGGCACCCTAGCTGCTTTGGGCCCCATTCATCTGCACAGGTTGCACAAATTGGTAGTTATGCCACTGATTATTACACTAAGATTACATACTTGAAAAAACATGTAGATTATAGAATAGTTTACCCAAGAAACCAGTAATTGATTCATAATGATTTTAAAGAATTATTATTATTATTTTTGATAAATTTATTTTATATTTTTAAAATGTAATAAAAGAACCCCTTGGAACAAATTTAAGAACTGAACAATCAACTGTAGAGTAGTTGTAGAAGATAAACTATCCAAATAATTATTATTTTCAATTATAATTAGAGAATAAAAGATGAAAACATGATAAAATAAATTAAAGATTTTAAAGATGATAAAATTATTCATCTCTGAACAAGCAGTTCTAGAAAATTAATGCATTTACAGTTTTGACTCATAAAATTTTAATTTGGAATTATGGATAAAATTATTTTAATAAAAATAAATTAGTATTAAATTAAAAGATTAAAAATTATTTCATATTGTTTTGAATAATAAAAAATTACTTCTGCAAGATAATGAGTTTTTATAAATGTTAAAAATATATAATAAACATTAAGATATAAACTTATTGCAATATTCTCAAATGTATTATTTATTTATACAGAATCATTTCTGGCAAGAGAGCAAAGGACGTATTCGTCAAGCACTCTCTCCTAGTAGTAGTCCACCAGCAAGTCCAGCTTCACAACGTGCTAATTCCACTTCTCCAGTTAATAGCCATTTTGTGAACAATACGGATTATTCAGATGATGATGAAACAGAAGGATAATAATAAAGGAAAATAACATGTATATTTGTAAATGAATTTAAAATCAAATTGACTGAATTTCTGCTAAGAAAATGCTAATTAAAACTTAGGATTTATGGTAATTTATCATCAGCTTAATTTCTTTGCAAATTTGCTATGGAGTTTTTACATAATTTTGGTCAAAGAAAGGGAAAAAATGCAATTACTAAGATTGACAAAACAGGATAAATTAAATCACATCAATTAGAATAATCTATTAAAGTAAACTGCTTTGATTAAAGTAATTTCAACTTGTATTATTGCAATTATTTCAAATTATTTGAAAACAACACTGTGTTTCTTTTAACAATTTTGAGAAGAAACATGATCCTGCTAATTATAAAAGACCAAATAAAAATGCATTAAATGAGTTAAGGACCAAATGTAAGCAAAAAACATTTTACTTATTTATGTAAATGAAACAATTATTAAAGATGAAAGATTTAATTTAAAATTTTTTTCATTTTTTTAAAAATAAATTATTTGATTAAGTTTGATGACAGTGGGTAATTGTTTGATTCTGGAGATTTTATATTTATGTAAAAATTGTCTTTCAGTCTTCCATCTTTTTAATTTTAACTATGACTTGTCAACCAGTATTGTATTAAATGGAAATTTAAAACAATAAATTATTTAAATTTTAATTTTTTCTAAAAAAAAATTANATTCAGATGATGATGAAACAGAAGGATAATAATAAAGGAAAATAACATGTATATTTGTAAATGAATTTAAAATCAAATTGACTGAATTTCTGCTAAGAAAATGCTAATTAAAACTTAGGATTTATGGTAATTTATCATCAGCTTAATTTCTTTGCAAATTTGCTATGGAGTTTTTACATAATTTTGGTCAAAGAAAGGGAAAAAATGCAATTACTAAGATTGACAAAACAGGATAAATTAAATCACATCAATTAGAATAATCTATTAAAGTAAACTGCTTTGATTAAAGTAATTTCAACTTGTATTATTGCAATTATTTCAAATTATTTGAAAACAACACTGTGTTTCTTTTAACTATTTTGAGAAGAAACATGATCCTGCTAATTATAAAAGACCAAATAAAAATGCATTAAATGAGTTAAGGACCAAATGTAAGCAAAAAACATTTTACTTATTTATGTAAATGAAACAATTATTAAAGATGAAAGATTTAATTTAAAATTTTTTTCATTTTTTTAAAAATAAATTATTTGATTAAGTTTGATGACAGTGGGTAATTGTTTGATTCTGGAGATTTTATATTTATGTAAAAATTGTCTTTCAGTCTTCCATCTTTTTAATTTTAACTATGACTTGTCAACCAGTATTGTATTAAATGGAAATTTAAAACAATAAATTATTTAAATTTTAATTTTTTCTAAAAAAAAATTAATAAGGCTTTTTTTATTTTTCTTATTAATGATTTAATATTTCTTGAAAGCTTTTTCACTTTCCTTTTTTATATATATATATTTTATATTATTTATTATAAAAACATTGTAAATTTAATATAAAAAATGTTAATTTCTTAAAGAATATTAAATTTTTTAAGAGTTCAATAAAGTTGGTGGTGATTTATTTTTATGTTGTTAAAATCGTGATATTAATGAAGATATTTTTAAACTTTTTCCATAAAACAATCAATAAAATACAAATAAAATGTTGAATATTTTTCTACTAGTTCAATTTTTTTTTAATGCAAGTATTTATAACTTTGAATTTTTTAATATACATTTATATAAAAAAAACTTAATGTAAAAAATGGACTAGATACATATGTACAAAAAGTTTGAAACTAGATTTATTGGTTTATTTTTTTTATAATATAATTAATAAAATTTAATTTAAATAAAAATATTTGCTTTTGGTTGCTATAACATTAAACAATTGATAGACCAAGTTATTTATAAAAAATTTTAACTAAATTTTAACAAAAATAGAGAGAGTTGAAGTGCAATAAAATGTCAAAACAATTTAAACATTTAAAATTGATTCTAAAAGTAAATTTTTATTACACCTTATAATAATATTTTCTTTTTTATAGTTAAATAAATGTGGCTGTTTTTCATACTAAATGTTTTAGTTTTTTTTTTTAAATTCCAATTGCTAGTACACTAGAGGAAGTGATCTAATAGTCTATAATACTGTAATAGAAATATACGTGCACAGCAGTTGTGCATTACTCTTGATTTACAGCATCGCCTGTCATAATAATGATCGTTAGTGAAGTATCTGGAATACTCAAAATTTAACACTAATGAATCCTTGTAAGCATAATTTTATATATGTGTTGGTATTTATAAAACGAAGACTGTAATTTATAACAGTAATGGCATCGATATCGATCGGATTTTCGTTACGAGATGTATAATTTTCGTAAGAGTTGCGGAGTAGTGAAAACTGAATATCTAGCACATTGTATGATATGGAAAGTTTCATTCGAAAGTTCCTATATTCGCCATAAAATTTTTATATCCAAACATAATTTTTTTGTTACTTTTTTTGATAAACCGAAATATATCTACAACTTCCTTGTTTTTTGAATATTCATAAACTAATGCTTACTTCAGACGTTCCTACTAAACAGATTTAACTTTAAATCTGGGATTTTATTCTTTACCTATTAAGTCGTGTAATTTTATGACACTTTTTAATGTATAGCATTACGTGCTCATGCATTAAACTCTGCATGCAATACGTAAATATGTGTGATATATGAATCTGATTCTATGTAATGTAACCCACTATAAGAGGATTTTTGTTGTAATTATGCAAGATAATTAGAAATCATTTCGCTATCTTGCACTATAGATTTAAGATTTTTAAAATTATTTTGGGTAATTATATATTTCACGATACAATTTATATACTCTGAATTATATATAAATTGTGCATAAAACAAGTTAAAGAAAATTGGTTTGAAATGCTGCTATAATTAGGATTATTTATTCAATTGTTAAACGAATCTTGAATTTTAATGAAATGGCATTTAAATTTATCATCTAAATCATTCTGCAAAAAGTGAATATTAAATATACCCCGACGACTATAAATTTTTCTGCTTAAATTTATTATTAACGACATAAATTTTGCATAAATTTAATTGAATTCTCTCAATAGTTCATTGTCCCTTCTAAATTAAATTCAAATATGGAAAATATCTGTATACAAAATAACCACGTAGTGTCGATTTTAAACGATTTTAGCTTTCAAATTTATGAAATTTAACTGAAAAAATAGCTGATTTTCTAAATGAATTGAGTCATACAAATTAAAAACTAAAAGAAATTGTAGTGTTACGGAAATCTGATTTTAATCTTGTTTATAATTTAATAATTGTTGCCCATCATCTGGATGAGCCGAATAACACGAATGGCTTTTTCACTCTCCTTAAAATCAGTTTATGAGATGATAAATTAACGTTTCAGCAGCTCCTTCTGTCGATCCTATATTTGAGAAAAACCGATATTAAAGACTAAACGAGGTTTTTATATCGTAGTTCTAAGTTTAATTACATATATGTTTGCCCTTTGATATATAAGTTTATGTATACTGTATATCCTATAATAAAAGATTTAAACAGAAAAAATATATATACAGGGAACTTTTCCATCTCGGAGTCGTTTGTCATGTATTAAAAATTATTAAGTTAATTTATTTCAGTTTAAATTAAACAACTATAAATATGTTTTAGAATAGGAATAAAAGTTAATCGTATTTAGTAATCAACTATCTCGTTTGAGACCGAATAACACGCTGTTTATACATTAAAGAAGTGTCATTTTATAGCTTAGATTTGTAATAAAATATAAAAATATTATCGTAGAAACGATTTTTCAGAAAATGTACATAAATGAAAATACAGTATTTCTGTTCTCGAAATCTACAAAGTGAAATTCATGCGAGAGAAAATCAAACGGCCTGTTATATTATAGTTTATAGCTTGAAATGAAAGTTCATTACCTTCCCCTTTACATCTGTTTTTCTGACAAATACTGTTCGGTAAAGAAGCTGCAGATGCTTTTTCTTATATCGTCTCATATAAGACTTTGCATCTGTTCTATAGAATCGCTTCTTACAAGAGGTTACTTAGAGGGGCAGTGTGTTCTAGATATTTGAAGCCATTTTTTAGTGGTTCTAGGTATAAAAATACGTCCATAATGCAGATAGATATTTCTACTTTTAATATAATGTAGTTTTTTTACTTTCGAAGTATTCTTATGTCGAATTCTAATAGCAATTTAACGGATCTTTCATGAAGAAGGTTTAGAAATTTCTAAACATTTAAATGTCGTTTAATTAAAATTATAATAGAGAATGTTTTCTTTGAATAATTTTTAAATTAATAAATCTAATCGGAAAGGGCTACACAAATGTCCTACAATTAGATATAATTTAGGAATGAGGAAGACATTTATTACATTTTAATAGCTTCGAAAATAAAATTAATTTTATTTTTTAGAGTGTATTTTTTTAAGTCGTTAATTTTTTAGAATGGTATTTTTATTCGTTTCAAGTATTTTAACATTTAAACTTATTAAATTTTAATTATGAATATAAAAGAATAAAAGTAAATGGAAAAGTTCGGTTATCTTTCTGAATGATGATGATGATGATAGCAAATTTGAATTTGATTATTTTTAAAAAGCATATAAATTAACCTTTAAGAATTCATAATAAATTGGCTCTATTGCCAATATTACTTTAGGATTTTTATGAACAAGTCTAAAATATTTAAATTAAAGTTACAAACATTATTTATAAAAATAAACTGAAATAATTATGATATTTCTTAAAATCTATCTTGATTAAAATCGAGAATATTTTGGAATAAAATTATTGCAAATTTTTAATATTCTAGTTTTATTTAAAACTTTAACATTCATTTCCCAGGATTGTTTATTATTAATATCATTCGAATACTATAATATTTATGTTTCAAGATAATACTATACCTGTTTTCTATAGATAAACCATTTAAATTTAACAAATTTATTTAAATAATTAACAAAAGATTGCTTGGATTTTTTTACAATAAATATTCCTGTTAAATTACCAGTTTTTAGAGATTTACTAGAACCAAATTTAAAGGATTTCGGTAGATAAATTCCATCTATTTTTATCGTTTCCGAATTTCTTTGTGCAATGAATGACTACAAATATTTATAATTTATTTTCACTCAATTTGTAATTTACCTTTCCTGTAGAATTGGAATTTTAGGAAGTTTTCTGTATAGGCTACATCTAGTTATTTACAGTAGAATACTGTAAAAATTTTAACGATTTTTGAAAATATAAAATTCTCATATTTTATTTCAGGATATAAAAATTTATAACAAAGTTATTAAATATAATTTTCGGTACAAAAATAGGTATAATGAAAAAAGTAATAAAAGTTATAAGAAATAAAAGATTAATTTATAATTATAAGCAATTGTAATACAATAAGCTTAATTTTATCATTTATACTACGACAGATAAAAGTTTGAGTAACTTCAAGCAAATTACTCATCCCAGAATAAAATGATAATATTTAAGAAACTGTACATTTAAAGCGTTTTAAATCCGCTTTATTGTAAATTAAATATTGAAAATTATAGCAAAGATCTATTCTAAACAGTTTGTTAGATGTATTAAATTATGTACAATCGATTAAACTTTAATAAATAATTTTAGTCCTTTCCATTTATTAATAGAAACCGTTGCTTTTGATATATTTCATTATATACAATTTATAAAATATATTTTCGGTAACCGAATTGACCTTTAGATGAAATGATTTTCTTTTGTATCTATATTTGTGAAGATACTTTGATGAAAACACTATTCTAAATTAGAAGAAACTCTCTTAAAACAAAATAGAAACCCGAGCAATGTTGAAAATCACAAATAACGCTTACAAAACTGATGAAACAGAAATTGAGCCATAAATTTTTTATTACTATAAAAATTTACGATGTGATTTTAGTATATAAATTGGTCCATACCCTGAAATTTAATATATTTCGTATACTATTCGCATAATCTTTAGCAACTCGTTAATAAAATGCATGCTTAAAATATGTTTTAGAAATTGAATTACAATAATAATGAATTATTATTTAAATATAATTTTAGAAATCTATATAAATTACAGCACATTTTATCCACGTCTTAAATAAATATTTAACGTTTTCGAGTCATTTTTACTGTAAATTTACATATCCACGTAATTTACTCGCTAGAAATAACTTTATATTTACTTTTTTTTTTAATATTGTAAAGTTTTATCTTTAAAAATTCTTAATTAATTCTTTAAAAAAATAAAACATTTCTTGTTAATGTGTGATATTCGCTTATTATAGCGCACTTATAAATTAATTACGGTTGGTAGACCTAATAATTTCATCATTTA